TCAGTCATTTTCCTTTCAGGCCACAATCCTTTTGTTTGGTCCGTTCGGTTCTATACCTCAAATATTTACTGATGTTTGCACAAAACACTTTGGTCACAGTCATCCGTGGAAATATTTATATAATACGTAATGTATTTTAGTTGTATGAATCAGTTCCCAGTAAAATGCCTTTGAAATATTTCCTAGAAGGGAGAAGTAATGTGGTATCTCAGAGAAAAGCAGAAATAAATGAAACTCTGATTTGGTAAATACTGAGAACCTGTGGGACACGTTACTCTGCTACAAAAGTGTAGTTTGGGAAAATTGGTGTTTACGACACTGATACTCGAGAGAACTTCCAAAGTTATTTAGGTTTCACGTATTTGACAGCAGCGATCCGCTACTTTAACTGTGGGGTTACAGTGAAAAGTGAAAGGGGCTTTGGCCAAATCTCTTCAAACTCAGATGGAGGGAGTCAGTGAAAACATAAGACATGTTTCCAGAATGACAACAGAGGGGGCCTCACTGCTGTCGGAGTAACTGTGGGGAAAGAAACTTAAGGAAAGGGGCTTAAACTTTAGAATAATGAGGGACTTGTCAATCATTTACAGAAAACTGCGTCGTAACGACAGGGGACTCAGTGCACAGGCAGTTTAAACTGTCAGATTTGAGTCCACAGCTAATCCAGATGTAGTCGTTATATATTAGTTGTGATGAAACTATAGGTTAAATATTTCAAACACCCCCCACCTGTCAGACTCTTTGACCATCATATTTTCTTCAGATGTATTTTTGGGTGAATCTTCTGATGCAAAACTTTCTAGAATCCCGTCGACAGCTGTTCACACTTCACAGCCAATGTTCTGGACATTTTGCAGGGTTCATGTATGAAAATGGCTCAATAAAAATTCTTACATGCTGGTTACCTCAAGTGTTACTTTAAAAAGAAACTTTATTTTGGGTAAATTATTTTTGGGCTTGTGCACAAAACCAAAGGTTTCTCAGTTAAGTTTTATTTCATGATACTTTATCCTGTTCGTGCCCAACATTTACAAGAAGACTTAAATACTCTAAAATACCCACTAGCTACTTGTTTTCTTCTAAATCTACAGCTGGGAAAAGTATTATTTTATTAGTACCTGATTCGTACAATGAAATTATACTGTAAACTGTGGGCTGTACCATAAAGTGAACATTAACTGTTTCCCACGCCGCGAGGGCAAACAGCTTGTAGCTCCTCCTGAACAGAGAACACATGCACACATCCGCGCCTCAGATCTTCCTCGTTTACTCACTTGCCTTGAGGGACCCCTCAGATGGGGCCCACCCCGGACCTCTGAACAAACCAAAGCCAACAAACAATGACACACACGTACAAAAGCAGAGCAGGGGAGGAATCCTGCTCTGCTCAGAGACTCTGGAAAGCCTCGCTCCTGCTTCAGAGTAATCTATTACTCATTGGCCTGATGGGGAAAGAGCAGAGATCAGTTCCCACTGGCTCGGTGAAAGCGTCGAGGCGTGTGAAGTCCTGAAATGTTGATTAGGTAAAGAGGAACAACTCCGATGATTTGCCGATCAGTCTGCCGTCAAATCGTCCTCAAAGCGCCAACGTGCCTCTCTAAATGTTTCCTTTGTACGTCCTCTGTGGTTTGACAGGCGGAGCTCTGTGACAGATTATGAGATGGATGAGCCACAAGCCGTTCCCAGGTTGTATTGCCCCCCCCACCCCGGCCTGCCGCCACCTCCTCTAAAGTGCTGCAAAGCCTAATTCATCTTCCAGGCCTGTGGGGATGGGGGATGGGGGGGGGGGGGGGAGGAGGGACCCTCTGCCCTCAGTCCAATCAGTCTCTCAGCAAGCACACAAAGGTCCTGCTGCTTCTACAACTGGAAACTTGGCTTAATGGTGAGGAGGCCATAATGTTGGACTGGAGTCAATTGCATTTCATTTTAATCAGGAAATTCAGCCGGGCGTCTCTTTCTGCCCAAACGAAGAATAAATACATTACCTTCTTTTTTTTTTAAATGTCCAGTTTCATTTAAAAGCGTCGCTGACTGGAGGAAAGCTGGGCGGTGGCAGCACTTTGAGTTTTTCCTCCTGAAACAGGTGGTGCTCAGAATTGGATCAGACCCGGCTTGTTATATTGCTTCATCTACTCTGATTAGTTCCTCTCCCCGATCCACCAGCATCATTAACAGCAGGGTGTTTGGCTGGTGATGGAGCAGAAGACGCCGCAGGCTCAGCAGTCGAGCACAAACACACCACTGATAGTAGTTCGGTGTGATGTAAAGCAGAAGTTGGACATTTTGGGAAAATCCACTTATTATATGTTGTAAGAAAAGACGTTTGCCAGCAGCTGGTTAGGACTTTAGCACAAAAAATCTCATCTCAGCTTTAAAACTCACTGATTAAAATGTTACTCATTGTTTGTGTGATTCATCATAGTCACGTACAAACTAAATAAAATGTTTAAATATCTTTTTTACATTTACTTTACACACTCATCCTTCCTAGTTTCACGGAAGTCTGTTCTGACAAACATAACCTCCTTCTTTCATTTTTAAAGAAACCTGATCAGAGGGGGAGCAGATCCAGACCTGTGGATAATTAGCTCTGATGCTAACTGTGGTTGATCTTAACAGACACAGAACACAAACAGCAGCATGACGCTCTATCAACTAATGAGATCAACAAGCAGCCACAGTAGAACAGAGCAGCGATGTAATATAACGTCCTGAGAATAAATGCAAAGTCAAACTCATATAATTTGTTCAAAGACAAATTTAGATGAATAATTTCCACCTCCTGCACCAAAAATAAAACAATATTCTGACTGTTTGTGGATCCAACTTCAAAAAAACTGTCACCTGATAATGTAAATCCTGCTGGTGATGATCGGAGAACATGCTGGACCCTGGTCTAGAGAAAGAACGGGTTTTTTTTCAAACATTGATAAACCTGCTCAAAAGACAATGGACTCATTTCCCCTTTGCCAGTAGAGAAGGTTACATTTCTGTTTTTGCCTTAAACGTCATTTGACCCGGGAATGAACGCTGACTGTTTCCATTCCCATTGCAGACAATAGCCAGATGTAAGTGGGTATTTTGACCAATGGGCTTTTCTTATGGGCTGGATACCTGCACTCTTTATGCTAAGCTAAGCCAACTAGCTCCTGGCTGTAGCTTCATATTAAACAGTTGCATCAGTCTTCTTCTACAACTCTCAGCCCCCCCCCCCCACTCCTTTAAAAACAGGACAATTCGCTGCTGGCATTTAAATCTGTTGCAGCTCGCTCTAACTCAGACAGCATGGCTGTTTTATTATTTAAACGCATCACCTAGAGCATTTTCTCCACACAAGTGCATCACATCATCTTTTGTGCATGAAAAACCAACAGCACATGATCTCATGGCGTTTATCTACGGGGGCTTTGTAAAAACTGCATGTGCTTAATTGTTGAGCGTAGCAGAACCGAGCACTTGTTTATTTGAACTTGGATGTCGGTTTTCATCTGGAGAAACGGCCCAGATCTGTACGAAAGAAGAAAAGGCCACCCACGGGGCAAGTAGCTGTCATCGTCGATTCACTGGAGGCTGAATTTAGTAAATTCTTAAGCAGCCTCACTCTAAAAAAAAAAAACTAAAAACACACCTTCTATGGAGGAACTTTACAAAAGAGACCTCTTACATTCTCTGGTGGGGCCGGGGCAATTATGCGTTCTCACACTGAATGGAGCGGAGAGGAGAGTTGTAGCTAATCTGCAACTCAAACAGGAGTAAATCTAAGATAATCAACAGCGAATTACAATGAGAGGCACAGGCAAAAACATAACAACCCTGGGTGTGTGTGTGTGTGTGTGCTGGTGAATCATGCTCTGCTTTTCAAACTGGTGAAATACGCCCTTAGGGCAAGAAACAGCTTAACCAAAGAGCCACTCAACACATTTGGAAGAAAGTAAACACACGATCCGCGATGCAAGAAAAGGTAAAAATGTTGAAAGACAAAACGAAAGCACACGAGGTGCGATGTCAGTCAGAGCACAACAGCACAGGAACCAGAGGACGGACTTAATAATAAAAATGTCAAATATCTTTTGAGCACGGCACAGGGGACCTTGAAGAAGAGGGAGTCGTCTGTGCATGTTCGACACCTGAGTTGAGTGGATCTTATTGTTAAAGGAAGTAAAGATGAAATAATCCGTCATCCTTTCTATAACACGGGTTGAAGCCATGTCGCAGTGAGTCACAGTGTAACTACGGTAATTCCCAAAACACCAGACTATCCGACTGTACAGTTCCAGCTCTACAATACACTGCACAAAAAAAAAAAAGATCTGCTGTAATCCTGCAGGATCTCTTATCTTAATGCTGTGACTTAAGTTATTGCAACACTTTGGACGCACAATCACGCTGATGCATTTTTGTGATTAACAGGAGTGGGATTAACAACTCAGAGGGTGGAAGTTGCCAGTGATAAGATCTACAGAGAAATAAGGTCTTTGCATTCCCCATTAAAGAGAGCTAGGACACGGAATACACAAGTAATGAATCAATTAATGAAAATAAAAATGTATTAACACTCATTACTCACTAAAGTAGCTTCAATCTTCAGTGGTAGATTCTCTAGTTCCTGTATTAACATCCGTCTCAGATGTTCCAATCACAAGTGGACAGTTTTAAATATGATAGGAAGCATCTCCACGTCTTGTTTGTCCAATTCTGAAATGTGTCTTTGGTTTGTTCACATCACAAGTAAATAGAGAAGGATTCCCCAGAAGTTCAATTGAAGCCTTTTGTTGTTTTTAGAGAACATTTTCTGGACTGTCGCAGTTGCCCCATAGGATTACATTGTAAATGAGAGCCTCAATGAATGAGTAAAAATAAAGGTTAATAAAAAAATTTTTTAATTAGATGATCTATTGGATCCATTCCAAAAGTTTTTAAGTACCGTTCATTTACACACCCACATTTATAAACAAGGGTGAATATAATAGAATCCCCTTTTAATAAAGAACAAACTCACAAAGTTTTCACACATTTTTATTAACTTCAAACCAAATCAATCGATCAATGATCAATCCCAATCCCGAACCTCAACCCAAGGTCTTTTGTTTTTGTGGGACCGTTGTGTATTTTTTAGGAAAACCCTTCATCCCAAACGAGTCCTGGTGGCTGTGTTGGTTTTTTTTATTCCATTGTGGCCGTTTGGAAACACCATAAAACAGCCTTTTCTATAATTATCACGTTACCACCACTGACCACAGGTCAGTCACATCTGAAAATGTACCTTCAATATTAAAATGTTGCAGCGTGTTTAAAGCTCTTGTGGTGGTGAGAGGGGAGCTCACTCTGGATAACCCCATTCTGTTGAGACTGAAAATATCTCTGCCTCCAAACAACCCCAGGGTTTTTTTTTCTTGACGTTGCTGCAGATTCAGCAGAGAGCGAATAAAGAGCCACCCAAGAAGTCCATGAGGCTGACGACTCATCCGAGGCCTGTTTCTGCACCTCTGATGCAAGATCGATAAAACTCAGATAAAATCATGGTCAAGTAATAACGATCTCTGACAGAACCACGTTCAGAGAATAACAGCTACTGAATTTGCACATACATGCATTTGATTGGTCTAAACAGTGTGTTGCTGGATTACACTGCTGATCCAGGATCAACTTCTTTTCTTCTCTGGACCCCCCCCCCCCTTCTTTGCCAATGCAAAGGTCTCATTGAAATGAATGAGAAGGTGGAGTTTTTTAACTGAGAGCTATTGTTGGTCTAAATGTGGCCTCGTGTGTGAGAGGGGTAATGACAGACCACTGAGGAGAAGAGAGGGACAGTATTTCTCTTGAGTTTCCACTTTAGCCTCCATCGAGTGTTAGAAACGTCAAAACATCCACTTACTGCTTTGATTCTTTCCAGAAACTTTTTCTGCTCTATTCTCACATGGGCTCATTTGGACATTATACAATGGGGGGGCTGGAGGGAACAGTTATGGAAAATGTCCGGAGCAACTGACATTTGAGTTCTCATATACAGACCCTCCGGAAAACTTCGGGACAAAGCAGCTCTGTAGTTATTAGCTTGCTGAGCACAACTTTAATGAAAAATGTGCTAGCTCATGTCTTTGAGCGAGAGTTTGCTTTGAGAAACAACTAGGTTGTTCTTGAACGTGTTATGACAGATGGCGTTGCTGTTCACAACAAATAGAATTTTAATTAGAGCAAAATTATAAAGCTCATATTTGTGTACAAAATAAAGACGTATGCAATCAATTGTCACAAGGATTATATGTTTATGTGCTGTGAACATTTCTTTAGTCAAATGCAAATGTCAGAGAATAAATCACAGAGCGAATGAGTCCATGCTGATAATATTCCGGCATCGACAACTCCCGAAGAATGTTGGGACTACCCCTGTGGAAACTGGCCGATGCTTCGAGAACATAATTTGCCTGGTTCCCGTGAGATCAGGCGATCTGTCCTCAGCTTCTCCTCTGACGTCACTCTGCAGCTGACGGGACCAGCCCCTTCTTGGCACCCTGGTGGTACTGGCTCTCCAGCTTCCCTGTGAGAGAAAGGGGGTGAAAGGGAAGGGTGGGGAGGGGAGAGAAGAGGAAGGGATGAATCAAAACACCATCAAAGGGACAGAGTGACCTTTATGAGAGCTCAAGGCCTGCTGATTAGAGGCGGCCTTGGGTAGACTGGGGAGGGATGGGAGGAGACAGGCAAACACAGAGAGAGAGAGCGAGCGAGTGAAGCCCCTTTAAAGCAGATCCAGTTATAGTGCCATTACAATGACCCCTCATTATGCCAGGTTTGCTTGTTTACACTGAACCAAACAAGCCAGTGTAAAGCCAGTGTGTGATTTTAGACGGCGTAGTGATGTTCCAGAATTAGAGGCGTGATGTGTCGGCTCTCCCCTTCACACAGACATTGACGTGTGAATAACCTCGACCGCACTCTGTTTGAACCTTTTATGAAGAAAAGTGAGCGAGTGAGTAAAGGCACAACTTTCCCACCTTGAACATGTTTCAAAGAGGCTGAAGAGACGATAAGGCTACAGCCACGTTTCAGTTGGGATGTCTCCATGTGCTTTTTTCGAAATATTTCATTAATAGAAAGTTGATGGAAAAAATTCCCCCCGTACTCTATTGCATCAAAGTTTCCATGCTTGTATGAAGTGGTTTGAGTCTTTACGAAAGAAAAAAAAGAGTTAATGTGCTTGCAGGGAGAAATTTACTGAATGAGACGTAACAAAATTGAATTTGTATGAAATCAGCTGTTTCTTCTTAGACTCATTTGAATTTGTTGGCAGCAAAACAAAGGTATCAAAGAAAATCTGGAGAATGACGGAAACAACAGGTTACAAGATGAATGCAGACAGACAGTCTCAGATTTTATGGGGACACAACACTGTTCTAAAAATGTTTGCTCCAACTGATTTAATTTTCTATTTTTAGATTTACGTCTTCATTTTTTGTTGCTATGCTGCTTCGCATAAGCGCTAACTGGTCACTATCAGCCAGATTACACTCTGAAGCCCAATTCATGCTTCTGCACACGTAGCTGCTGTTGAGAGTCTTGCGGTTACTGGTCCTTATATTTACAACTTCTCTGGCGAGTGTCACTAAAAGGATCGTGTTGCCGTTGGAGCTGATGGATGTTGAAGGGCAGTTTCTTTTTCTTAAAGAACTGCAACTAAGAGAAGAAAGACTTCGTCCGTTTTCTTCCTTCCACTCGGAAGTCTGCCGGAAATGCGATGTTAGCAAGCGGACCGATCAGAGCTCTTGCGCCTCGTCAGGTAGTTGCATTTTTGGGGAGGAGCATGTCAGCGTACGGTGTAGGACTCGAGGAAGGGTACACGTTAAAACTGCTGCATCACGACACTTCTACAGTCAGAACTGAAAGTCATTGTAGTGAATAGCACCCCTAGTGGCAGAAGTGTAAGATGGTGGGAGATGCTACAGCGGGATCGTATGATGGTTTGAAATGAGCCTAAATCTTTGTTTTGGTGTAAAAACTCACCCCGACACACAAACACGAGTTGAACCAGGTGGAAACAGAAAAGTAAAAGTGCCCTGTAGTAACTAATAAACTTCACACTATACAATCAGTGGTGAGTGTTCTCCGTGGATTTATCTGAGGAATGTTAGAGTCTGAGCATGTTTCTTATTCTGCCAAGAATGTAACAACTCTGACATTAATCCTTTTGGATTTTGCAGCTGAGCCAGCGAACCAGCACCTGCACAAACTTGTTGATTAGGAAACCACCATTTTCCTGTCATAAAAGAGAAACTTCTATTGTTCTGAGGAATTCCATGGTTAGAATTTGTATCTGACTATTTCATGTGAACCTCAGATGATGTTTACAAAGATGAAAACAGCAGCGATTCTCTGGAGAGGGTTTTATCAAGTTGCTATTTATATCAGTGCTTGTAGATATGGTGAGTAAACAAACTCCTGCAGCCACTGAACTGATGCCGACCTCCTAATCTACTGTAGCTGTGACAATACAACTTTCCCTGTATCAATCACATTTCAATTTGTTTTTCTGTGCAGAACAACCTGCTGGGTTTTGATAACCCGTGTTGACCACCATCCTTCACAGCAAGGTAAAAAATAACCTCTCTGCCCAACACCAGCCGCCCGCTTGTCAATCCGTGGCATTAGCTGGATGTTTTCCCTGCGGCTGAGGCCGAGGAAAATATGATACAAGTGTGACAGGCAGGGGTGGTGGTTGTCACTTGTGCTTTCTCTTCATGTTGTCGCGTTATAGCTGAACTCTGTGGGTAGTAGCAGCGTAAACAAGTTGTTTAGGAGAAGTGTTGTTTGCTCACCATTTCCAAGCTCTGTCTGAAAGGCTGTCAGTGTCTGTCTGCTCTGCCAGGAGCAAGAGTTGCTGCTTAGGTGTGGAAACACCTCTGGATTTGTTTTGGTTGACTGCTGCCAAAAAGTTTACCAGAGATTAATGATAACTCCACCATAACAGAAATGCATCATGGTTTTAAGAAAGCTTTTCAGTATCAACTGTCTAAGAGCAGATTCAGGCTAGTGTGTATTCTAGGAGAAAATAAATATGAGACGTTAAGAGCCCAATTACTGCAGTTAGCATTTAGCAGCTGTCAAAGTAGGAACATTTGTTTTTAAATAATACATAATGAACAATTTTGTAGCAGCAAAGTGATAGATCTGTTTTCTGAGAACAGAACGAGAGATATTTTAAACTACATTAAAAAAGATTCAGTTATTCAGGACAATGATGTGTTGTATTTGTTGTATCTGTGATGAATTGTATTCAGAATTCTCCTCCAGGGACAAATGAAGTTGTTTTGAATTGAAAATGCCTGATTGGGCAAGAATCAACTGAATGTTTACAAAGATGTGATTTAGGTTTTCTTTTTATCCAGAGTGATTTCTAATGAGCTTCAATGTTAAACTGTAAATATCAAGCCTCACTTACATTTCTTTGTCATGAGGATTTGATAACAACATACTGATATTTCAGTATTGGTAATTCTTTACTCTGCTTCATTCTGGCTCTATTCATCAGTAGATATCTAGAAGATGATACACTTGTTATGATGATATTCAATCAACTGGTGAAAATTCAATTTCCCTTTATGACACTTAAGGTACATACATTACCTCAAGTGCTGTACTTAAGAAGAAATCATTAATTAGTTAATTGATTCATTTGGGAACCTGCAGCAGTGAAACCAGATGTAAACACAACGATGAAGATGTTAGCAAACACTTGTCTATTTACACTTCCAACAGACATGGAGCAACATTAGCATTTATTAAAGTCATCACCACCTGGCAAATGCAACTTCAATATTCACTCTGTTTTTTCTCTCTTCAGCTGCTCTATGTTTCACCTGCTATTCGCTAACTGCCTGTCTGCCATTAAATGCAGGGCAGGTATAACTTATGGTTGGTTTTTAGAGCCTCTTTACTGAAAACAGCCGCAATGCTGCGACCGAAATGACACCATTAGTGTGGTGAGAGTGAATGAAAACAGCTGGGGCAGGAAAACCAAAACAAAAAGATGAAAAAGGTTTGAAAGCTCTGTGAAGCTGAGAGGAGCCACAGAGCTGGGCGATGATTCTCTGTGGGTTCATAACCACCAACAACCTCTTTCTCCTGCAAGTGGTTCTAGATACCTTTAATAGAATAATCTGGATCACAGAAAACTTGAGGTGCAGAAAATATGAAAACAAGAAACCTGCTTAATTATTGTTTTTCCACAGTTTGTTTCTTTTGCCACCTAAAAATTCGCTGAACCGTATTAATTAACAAACACGACATTTAAAGCCATGTGGGGATCAGATTTACTAATGTTTACTTTTTAAAATAAGTATTCTTTATTTATTTTGAGTCGCTTTCAATCCATTTCCTCTGCGCTTACGTGTGAACACACCCCAACAAAGACTTAACTTGAATAATTAGCTGTCACGTCAGCTCTGTCACCATAGCGATTTCAGAGTATTTACGCTGCTTAAAGGTCTGAATGATGGAAACCACTTATTTTATTTCTATTCCAGGGAAACGGTTTGAGAAGAACACTTTAGGCAATTCTGTGAACTCATTAAAATACATCCCTAAGTGAAACATGGAAAAATAACAAGGTTTCGTGCAACTGGCTACGGACAACCAAGGACAACAGCAACAACAAACACAGAGTACAGTAAGTACCCTTGTCGTCAGTCAGGGGGGAGTATTCTCTGGCTGTATGAGCAATTCAGACTCATTATATTCTCCAGGAAAGTCAATCCAATGCTGTTACATATTCCATGTGTGAAGGCGACTTTTGTTAATGGCTCTGGAGCTGCTGAGCTGTCGCATTTCAGAGTAGGTGCTGCGGAGCCCAGAGAGCTGGAGGGAATGCAAGCCGGAGAGAGGGAGGGTGAGTGAAGGAGTGGGTGGAAAAAACAGAGAGACAGCAAAAATGAGACAAGGGATGAGGAGAGAGAGGGTAGGGGGAGGGAGAAAGGGATACAGATAGGAGGACAGCAGGAGAGGTAGAGAGAGGGAGAGATAGAAAGGCTGGCCCATCGATTGGCTGAGATAATTTCCCATTGATTGCTGGACTGTTTGGAGATTGCTGGAGAAAGGTTTATTGCCCACACGCTGCAGCTGGGGAGGAGGCCATAAAATAAGCACAGGCTGTCTGCAGAGGGCTAGCTCTCCATCACCAGGACCGTAAAACACACACACACACACACACACACACACACACACACAGAGACGCTCATACGTACACGACACTCGGACACTCTCTTTACATAATCACAAATATTACTGCATGCATACCATTCCCATTACACACGAGAGGAGAATACAGCTCATCGATGATGGAGAGAGAACTCGCATAATCCCTTGAAATCTAGGGGCAGTAGTGCAAAGAGTATTTATTAGACTGAAATAGAGGTCCGCTGACATCCTCGCTGACATCAATAACATGTTGGTCCATCAGCTCCCTCGCAATAATAATCACAAGAATAATAAGCCGGTTGCCGGTTCTGTCTCTGTGAGAGTAACTGCCTACGCACCGAAGAATAAAAA